TACGGTTATATCTACAATATCGATAGCATTTTAATGATACGGTTGCAGAAATGATACCGAACAATTAGTCAATTCGCTATCAATCTTTTCAACAAACAACACTCTACACTAAACGAGCAAGCTACAGTAATACAAGAAAATTAGACTATTTTGTTCTCTTACCTTGTCGATGAACACTCTTCCTCCAATGGCTTACAAAGTCGACTTTTTTCCTTCACTACTACTAATAAGATCAGTACTGAAAAGAAGAAAGTTAAATAAATAAAAACTATAGTTTCGGCAGCTTTGCTACCATCAGGATTACTTGGGAACTCTGAAGATAGGTCAGTCGACGAAGATCGTTTAATACGTATATCTGAGGGCTGTTTCTCTCTCTCCCATGGCCAAATTGTCTTATGGTCAAGATATAGAAGATAGCTTAAGTAACTTCCCGCAAATATATGAAAAATGCATTCAAAGATAAGTAGAACACTAAAACAGACTAGGCATAGGTTGCACGCCATAATTGTAGATTTACTCTAGCGATTTCTAATTTATTGCTTATAGCAAAAGAATTGCAGTGTACAAATTGTTTCAACCCCGGAAAACTCGAGGGCACGTGTGCAGAGCGATAGCTATGACATTAATCGTCTATTGTATGCGTGTATATTCGTATACTATATCACGACGATACATACATTCTCCATTCGTAGTAGACAATGCATAGCATGCTTGCCTCGATATGCGGAAGTTATAAAGAAATAAATAATCCTGTAAAGTACTTTCGGTCGCATAAGGTATGGCTTAAAGGTTTAAATTACATTATCTGAATTAATTAAGTTCATAGTGAAAACAATACAAGTAATCTTTTAATGCTCTATTTATCAGTTGAAATTACTTGTTGACTTTTCTGCATGACAGTGCAGCTTAAGATCGAATAAGAATAACAAATTGACGATTCATTCACGTAAAGATATAGTCCTGGATTATTATTCAATATTTTAAAACCAATTTCGTTACCGATTCATCGCTGTGATATATGCCAATCACGAAATTCCAAAATTTAGAAAAATAAGGGCTTTATTGAATCTTATACAAAGATCAACTACACAGTTCTACTGTAGCCGAATACTACTTCTAAAGACTTCTTGAACGAACTAACAGAATAATCTAAAGTTGCATGCTTTTATACTTTCCGTAGCATTCGCAGCTACAATCCGCATGGCAACCTTTTACCTTATTATACACATAGTTAAATTATTCTTAGTAAGACTATTCTACTGCGGACCATCATTAATCCAATATGCATACGACTATAATACTTACGCAGACATTATTCACACCAGCCAAAGTAGAATGAATTAACCATATCCTAATATATGATTTACAGTTCTATTTTTACCCATAGCCTTATTAGTAACTCAACAGCTTACTGTATATAGTCATCTGTACTCTAGCATAGAGTCTCTACCACTACAGTCTATAGTTATAGTTACCAAATATCTCTTAGGATAAATATCTACCGTACATTATGCTACACATGGCTAACAGTCTACAATCACAATACATTATTTACCTGTGCCTCGACAATAAGTGGCATTTTTATACTCATACTCTACGTGTGAAGTACATTCGTGGCACGTTCTTTAAGTAAATGGTAGCTTAGCGAGCTTATCTGATTTGGTATTCTTTAATATTAAATTACAGTGCTGTACTAACCGAAGGTCTATGGCTATCAAGCCATCCGAATCCACTACAAGTCGAAGGACTTCTCGATAAAACATGATTCCTCAAAAATAGAAAAATATTAATCTAATCATTTTTTATCGAGAAGTCCCTAGTACAACACGCTACCGTAGTGCGCCATAAATACTAAATGCAAACCAAAAGAGAAATTACTATTGGATACTACTTTTTTCTTTTTTTACATTACACTCTCTTATATTGTACGTATATACAGTATATTAGCTACTATAAACATTACAGCTTGACTTTAAACAGACGGACATGCGAGTACATGGAGAAAATACTGATAAATGTTTCGGTTATGCCGGCGTCTAGCAATTTTGTAGCCTTTATTGATATATTTCTATATAGGACCCATCAACAGTTCCATAACTGGAGAATTATGTCGAAAAAGATAGTAGTACATTCACTTTCTAGTAAATGACTCTTCCCCACACTTGATGTTGATAGTATCGTTTTTGTTCAGATCAGTACAATAATGTAACGCAGAGTAGATTCGTATTTTATACGTGTACTTGCGTATTAACTCCAATGTTTTAGATAAGTTCGTATCCATGTTATTCAAGGTACTCTAAAATGTGATAAAAAATTATTATACAAAATTTGTGCTTTAATAGTCGGTAGATTAATAGGAATCAAGAAATAAGGATGAAGTTGCGTCTAATCAAGTATAATTATGTGGCGCCTGTCTGTTAGTGTGGATATATTATTGACGGTATACGCGCATTAATTATCTATAAGTGCTCGTGTAAGAAACCCTTTAGCATGATTAAAAGAAAAAAACTTCAATTAGGATCTACTAGTTAATTCGAAATTGATGCCGCTAATACTCTTTTACTATTCCTAAAGGTAATTAATCTTGATATATCATTTTTGATTAAGTTATCATCCTTTCTAACGCCAGTTTGCAAATATTAGATCATACTCATACTTACACTAATTTATGACCATGCTTTTAATTATGATAATAATTTCTAATATAATATTTTGATTTCAACGCTGGATTACAAGGTATTTCAATTTACAAAGGCTTCAATAACTCAAGTCAAGATTATAAACTGCAGTTAATCGAACATTGACTTTACTCTTATTCGGTAATTCTTTGCTACGACTGAAACAATCTTTAATTTGCAAGCCGGTAATAAATTGATTATCGCAAGTTTAAATTGTTTTACATTAATAGATTGATGATTAGAAACAAGAATATAATACATGACTTAAATGTATACAAAAAAGTTACTACATTAGGCTTAATTTTAATAAATATTTGCCCATAATTTCTGTAATAAATAAATCTAGATAAATAATATATGCGCGTATGGTTACGAAAATCGGCTGTAGTTCAATCCGCGGCAATGACTTAATCCATAACTGGGCAATAAGTTACAAGTTTTTTAGTAGACCTTGTGTTACAAATCTAATTAACTAAGGTCTTCATTATCTTCTACATAAGCAAACTATCGCACTGTTACTAATGTTTTAACAAACGCATTGGGTCGTACTATATCTTTAACTCATTCCTTTGCCAAAATTGCAAATAATTCAAAGTTTCGATAGAAATAATCCTTAGCAGCTCCGAGATGCTGTTATTACGATGGAACAGATAGAGAGGATTGTATGATTACTTTGGAATTGCTACTAAATTCCAAGCTCCAGTTTAATCAATGCTTTTATACTTGGATCGTCGATTTTTTCTAGAGCTTGCTTAGCGTGAGATTTATCACCTTTATAATACTCAACTAATTCTTCGCAATACTTTAACCAAACACAATTAGCACAGCCACTCATACAACAAGTTACCGGCAGTTCGGGCGGTAATTTCTTGTCGATTGGAGCACTATCTACAATTATAATTATAATTGAAAATTAATCAGAATCGTTCATTTATCATTTAAATATTTAAAATACTCGTAGTACCAGATTCTTAGTAAAGCGATACTTTTATGATTAAATCTATTGAAATGACGATATTTACCTTTAAGAACTGTGGTGTATGCTATACTACGATAGCGAAAATGTAGCAGGTAATTTATTCCTGAGAACGTAGCAACTTGATTTCCAGAACCCTAGTGGGAAAGAGTTGAGAATATTTTATTAATTTTAGCTTGTAAACTTGCTAATAGCAAATCGAGCATAAATCAGAGCGTAAATAAACATATAATTATTATACTTTAATTATTATTGGAAAAGGAAATCAATGTGGAAACAATTCTTATGAGGACACCCGCAGGTGCTCGCTTAATTTTTGAAGTTGCATCATCCGATCAGTTATTTTAAAGTAATAAATTAACTACATTAAACTTGTAATTGTGCTAAAGCATACAGGTTGACTTTTATTGCAATATTCCTACACCGGTAGTATCATATTTATTTCTCTGCAGTAGCTTAGATTTCCTCGTTACAAATTACGATTTATAACAATGTGGGCAACCTTACTGCTTCTTGACGATTTTCAAATTCTTTAGAACTATTAATCTTTTTTGCAGCTATTCGAATAGGATCTTGTATGGATATCTACTAGTATTCTTGTAGTGTACAAAATCAACAGTACTGTGTAGAGGAGAATGGAGATCCTTTGCAATGTTGCATCATCTGATGAAATTTATTACAAAGTCAGAGTTTACTGCATTAAACTCGTATTTGCACTAAGCCATTGATACGGTGTTATACACTATAATGTCTAGATTAGAGTAGAAATATCTATGTTAGGATAATTTTGTTGATATACCCTTATTTAAAAAGTTTCTAAGTTAGATATGTGATGTTTAAATATAGTACTAGCTTTTTCGGTGCTATATACAGATACAGCCAACTGAAATTAGTAGTTTAACTTAACTAGGGAATCTAGAATAGTCATTATACAATTCAAATCACTGTGATTGTAACTTACTTATGGTAGATTGCAGATTATCGCAGAAATATTCCGTGATAAGAGATATTGTAACCTGACAATTTTGTATTAGTCATTCGATGTCTATGTTCATAAATACTGTTGTTTTCATTAGGTAGCAGTAGATGAAATTAGCTTTTAATTGATTAGCAGGTTTCAACGTTAATACAAGTATTACTAACTAGGATGTCTTTGCTATTGTAAAAGACAATATAAATGCGAAATATCGTATAATAAAGGGAGCGTTTAAGATTAGTATTTAGCGTAAGATACAAGGCGTCTAAGTCTTTTTGTAGTCTACTATTATAGGAAAAGTGTTCCTGAAATTGTAGATATTGCTCCCCGATACGTGGTTCAGGGAATCGACTTAATGATCGTACATTACGTTATCTTGTTGCAAAGCTGTTTTGTAACAGCCGTCGATGTTGATGTTGATCCAATACCTTACGACTTACTTAATATAACTATATCAGCAGAACTATGTGATTCCTGTTTAACTTAGCAGTAATGTACTTGCATATTAATCGTGACAAGTAGAGAAATCCTTCTAGGTGAATGTGTATCTGTTACAGTATCCATCATACTTTGACGTGAACCGGTGAACGATCCCTTGACTACCTCAACAATTGCTTCCAGGAATGAACAAGAAAGATTAAAATAATCATGATTTTATCGACAAACCTTTGATACATAAGCATATCTGCAAGCTAACTTGCCCATTGAAAGGACGAATGCAGTCGCATTGGCCATTTTATCTCCTCTTAAAGTAGCCAACACATAATGCCATTGGCTTGATTTTGCAACAATATCACAATATTGTCGGCATGATGATCATGAAGTAGCACCTTGTAATCCAGTTAGAATAGATCAAAAATCTCCGTTAACTTAATCAATAGCCCATTCTATATTTAACGAAGGAGGAGAGTGGTTAAGATGCCATTTACGCTGGTTTAAGCCAATTTGATGAGTTGCTGCTAGAAGTTGATAGAAGGACTGCCGGCTGCTGGCCTTCAAATTGGGTTCCACTACCGTATTTATAGTACAGTACAGTATAATGGCCGGATGGTAACATGGGTGGGTACATGGCCATTTTGTAATAAGGTATAACTGGGTGTACCAGTCAGTATTCAATAGCCATACAAAACTATACAGCACTGAGAGTATGGAGGCCATGGTCGCCATAAGGACATCCTTACATCATGGATACGAAAGTTTCAGTTATCAGATTAATATACGCATATTTATTGCTTCGAACAAGTTATCCATATAGAATGTATAGTTTTGAACAAGCTTTCCACATAGAATGCACAGTTTTGGATTAATTCGATCTAGCAAATTTAAGAGAGAAATCGGAAGGGTAAATGATGTCTACCACACGATATGAATTTGATCCATAGAATTAATATACGCGTATTGATTACTTCGAACAAGTTGCCCATAGAGAACGTACAGTTTTAGATTAATTTAATTTAGCAAATGTAGGAGAGAAATCGTAGTCCTTCAAATCGGAAGGATAATAGATCTATACTACCTGATATGGATTTCATCCGTAGAATAGTTTTGTATTCTCGCGCAATTATTATATACTTTACCATAATATAGTATAGTATATTCCTCTCTTTTTACTTCCAGCAGTTGGTGATGAAACATATCTTCCACATTGGGTATGTAATCGTTTAACAATTTAACTAGAGATTAATTAATCAGATTAATATTTATTCTATCAAGCAAGTTATCCCTTTATAAATGCACTATCCCGTTAGTTCTACTTCAATCAATTAGCTATGAACCATATCTTCCACATAGGGTATGTAATCATTGAATAATTAAACTAGAGATTCATTAATCAGATTAATATTTATTCTATTCAACAAGTTATCCGTTTATAAATGTACAGCGTTGGATTGATTCGATCTGTTAAATTTAGGAGAGAAATCGTAGTATTTCTAATCACAGTGGCAAAATGGTCTATAACACCCGTTATGTATTTCATCGATAGAATAACTCTGTATTCTCGTACTAACATTACCTTTATCAAGCCTATTTTCTACGGTGGGATCTAATCATTTATGAATTAAATTATAGAAAATACGAGCACTCCTGTCTATTAGATCAATGGATTAGGAAAATAAAACTATCGCAACCCACCGAGGATTGATCGCTCCTGGACGACATATCTCGCACCATCAAATATAATAATTTTCGATCAAATACCCGCATTTTATAGAGATTATCCGCTTAAAATGAGTAGTAAAGATTCATTTATTCGACTAATGGATTTCACGGAATACGTTGTTCACGGCTTATATGCAGTTTTAAATTTTACTCGATCTGAAAATTTGAGAGAAGTAACATAGTCGTTCGAATCAAAAGGGCAAATTGATCTATACTACCATGTATGTATTGGAATGAAAGTATAGCTTTGTATTCCCATCAAAATATTATATGTACTCACAAATTAATCTAATCATCAGTCTAAACAATTCATTTAATAAAATTAACGAAGGACACTGGATGAATCTTAAAATAATAAATGAAGTAAAACAGCTGTTGAAAGCTTATTACAGTTCTAATCAGAAAGTAATTTCTATCATTCTAATAGCGTTTGGAATAAATATTTGAATTATAAAGGTTTTACTTCCGCTAAAATATATATCAAATGGTTTGATTTAAGGCTAATAATTTGTCACTAAAAATTAGAAAAACATCTTTACTGTACTGTCATCGTAGGAAAGTTTAGAGTATTTCCAATACTTGTCTAGACTGTTCAATCTATACTGATTATCATTTCATTTCATGATATTAACTTATTGATATTGATGCTATTTGTCATCTCCTAATTGACATAAAAAACTACTCAGGCAAGATGATACACTAAATGATCAATATTCAAATAGTATAATTCCAAAATTTTGACGAATGCTCGTTACTTGCGTTCAGTATGGATCTTCTCCTTTCAGCAGGTTTATTCTAATTTATCTTAGCAGTGACGTTTTCTAACGATAATCTTAAGCAGAGCTAGTTTCTCTCTATATTTAAAGTGACATAATCTGTTTTTTACATGCTGATAATATCTTAAGCCCAAAGGTAAAGGTACATAGATATTATATTCTAAATTGAACATCCTACTTTCTAAAATTGAATTGAAATTATTGTATTATATCTATGATCAATATAGTCTTCAAAAGATGATATTAAGGTAAATACTGTCACTAATGTCGCTTTATTATAGCCCATGTCATCTTTAGGCCGAGTTTATCAATGCAAACTAGTACTGAAAAATAGCATCAATGAGGTTTACATCGATCGATTAGAACTAACATTATAATATTAAATAGGTGTGGTTTATTTTCTTATTGTAGTCTAATGGCATACTGACAATGTTTCACTATGCTGGACTATAACATATTAGCGATATATGGGGGATAAGAACGAAATTTCAAATACATTAAAATGGCTTATGAGCAAGGTATCCATTCGTTCCATTAAACTCAATCCATCTATTTTGACGTGAAATAGAAATTTTTAAACATTTTACTTTAAAAATACTTTAACAAATACTTTAAAATGACTTATGAACAGTGTATTCATTCGTTCCATTATGATACGAAATAGAAATTTTTATATATTTTGCAATAGTCTATACAGTAATATTGATCGGTAGAACAATCTTCTTGCAACTTATCGTAGAAAGCCTACTTCCTAAGGTATCAACAACGTAGAAATGGTCGACACTTTAAAATAAACAAGGACTAAAACACATTTTTAGTACAGTATTACTATAATTAGTCAGCGTAGCCACAACATACTAAATGAAGATGGATAAAATTGTACTAAAGAGCTTGAAAGTATTTACAATAATCGTTACTCTAGACATTTGCAGTTTCCCTACTCTTCTTTCATATCGGAATAAGCTTTGATCCTCCAATATCTGTGAGAGTAGACCTCGTCGTCGATTTTCATTATAATCCCTACTGCAACATCGTAATATTCAATCCTCCTTGAACAATTATACAAATAGATGGAGGATGATATTTAAACTTCTCTCCTTTTAAAACAGTTCCTGTACATCTCCTCATTTATAACAAATTTTAACTCTCATTCATTATCGATGAAAATAGCGCTTGTTGTTTATATTTAATAGGCCGGCTGTTATGTAAAAGTGCGACATTGTAGCTCGTATTAGTGTATCTTTGGTATCTGGACCAGGTACAAGATGCAGTGATGAGATGATATGGTAATAGGGATGACTAGCATTAGAAGTGTGAAGATTTTGCATATATGAATTATATAAATAAGCTAAGCTAATATAATAAAATAGTTCTTAATCACCTAAGCTTGTGGAGTCACTGAGTTACTATTCGCTAAGGTTCTACTAGCTAGAGACGAAACACCTGCAATGATCATTTTGATTGCTCCTATCCTAGTATAACCTTATCATTTTCTCGAATGTCTCATGCAGTCCTAGTCACGGCGAATTTTAACCCCGTGTTTAAATTAAAATTAGTGCTTCATTCTTTCAACTTTGCATAGTTCCTTAAAGCTTGTTGATGTCTAACGCAAGTTGTGCTTTTCTTCGAGCAGGTTGCTACCTTACTAGGGCTTTCAATCATCATTTTGATCGCTCTTGTCCTAGTATAACCTCGTCATTTTCTCACATTGTCCAAACAGCACCACCAAAGTGAATTTCAGCCCCATCGGCGTATGTAGAATATTGGTATTTATCATCGATTGCTGATGAAATTAGAACTTTTTGTTTATATTTTATAGGTCTTCAATGATCATTTTGATCACTCTTGCCCTAGTATAACCTCATTCTTATCTCCGATTGTTCCATGCAGCCTTAGCCAAGACGAATTCTAGTCCCATATTTAAATTAATATTAGTACCAAATTTTCTCAACTTGAAGCAGTCCATGTCTAGCACAAGTTAAACTTTCACCGAACTTGTTGTGTTTAACTTGGAAGGGAATGCAATCATCATTTCGATCGCCCTTGTCCTAGTATTACCTCATCCTTTTCTCCTATTTTTCAATTATCCCCTTTAGCCCTAGCCAAGGTGAATTCCAGTCCCACATTTAAATTAATTTTAGTACTTCATTTTGTCAACTTTCAACAGTCCACATGTAGCACAAGATTGCACTTTCATCGAGCTTGTTACTTATCTTGGAAGGACCAGCAATCATCCATTTTAGATGGCCCTAGTCCTATTATAATCTCATCGTTTCTCCAATTGTCTCATCCATCCTAGTCAATGTAAATTCCAGCCCTATCTCTCAATTTCCATTTGGATGCCTATCCAGATGCTAGTTTATGCAAATAAGTTAAAACAGAATGGCGAGACAATAAATAATAAAGTCTTTGCTGGCAGGACAATAAGGTGATGGACAATAACAGTTAATTTGAAAAGATGACGTAGCCATTAAGCTTTGTTGTTCGATTACTCAAGTTGGAAAATTAGGATAGGCAATAGGGCTTGAAGAATTGGATTAATATTAGTAAATAGACTGATTCCTCTCTTGCTGCCTATAGTTGATCATCCAGAATGGATTGAGATGACTGTATTGTATACGAAGGGAGTTACCATCGATCGATTAGGAATCAACGTTGCAACTATCCAACACCCCCACCAGTATCATCATTCTTGTCGCTATTTGCCATGCCAACGTTATTTGCCATCCATTTGTTAATGATCGTTGGTCGAGAAAACTTGCTAAGAAAATAAATAAACTCTCTTCTGTCCTACAGAGTAATTGGAATTCTTGCTTGAGTTGGATTCCAAGTTATTCTATCCTACAGGATAAGGTATGTGATGAGTGTATAAAATTGAATCCATAGTCTAAATGAAGATAAGCCGATCCAATAAGAACATTATTGTTCATCTCTATTGGACAGCATTGTTGGATAGGCAAAGATGGCGATGACTGTCTTATGATTGATTGCATGCGGACATAGACGCCATCGCCTTGCTCTCTCTCTCTTCTTTTCGTTCACTTCTACCCTTGATAACTGTAATAATAACTTTAAAAAATCTCCATTTCAATCTCAGCCAGTCTATTTAATAGAAAACCATTGAAAATGGGTGTGAGAAAGGAAAGAAATTAATAAATTAGTTATGCAACCATGACTCTATCGACAAGAAGAAAAGACATATCTTCTCCTTTTTTTCTATCTTTCTAACTGACTTTGTTCAGAGTAATGGAGTTCTATCTTCTGTCGATGATATTGAAGGATGGAGTTATAAATGTATTCTTTCACTATAAGATATTGTTTCTATCTTGTATTTGCTCTATCTGCACTTATTTTCACAGAAGAGAAAGAAAAAGAGAGTAAACGCTAGCTAGTTTGAAAGTAAATTGGTGTCAATGGCTTGTTCATTGGCTTGCTAATGAATATGTTACATGATTACCTTGACAAATGCGCTCATTTGACCGTTTACAATTTCATTTGTCTTCATGACTTCCTGTACAGTTATTATCATCTGGATAGAATGATGATGATTATGTTATTGCTTGATGGTATTCTATACTTGATCAATCAGGAGGAATGCCAAATAGCCATCCTCTATAAATATCCTTCATTTTGATGTATATGATTTTGATTGCATTCTAGGCTAGCCATCGTTGCTACCGTTAAAGAGTGGAAAGTCTCAACTCCTTTTACCCATTTCATTCCGTGAATTCGTTGGAGAACCTTATCCACAGAAAGAGTGGAAAGTCGTTCTGATTAACTTGAACTTCAATTACTTCATCTTGATTCCTCTCCCACTATACATCTATTCATCGAATCATGGCTGATGATAATAATAGAACTTCTAATGAACGTGTTGATCATACATGCAAGGTTAGTAGTCAAGCTAGAAATATCCATTTCTTATATGATGAAGTAAAATTATCCAATATCAAACTAGTCCTCGAATCGTGTATAAAATCATCAGTACTCGTAGTCGATTATTTTCAATCCGAGATATAAACTTGATTCTTTCCCTTCAACATAAACTATCTTATGTCGTTGTATCGCTTTATTACCAACTGTCCTTTTTAAAATTTTGTCTTCTCAACAACTTGATTAAGCTTAGTTTAATAAAGTCTACGACAGCTATTTCATTTCTCCCATTGATTAGTATAGTATTGGATTTAACCTTGTTATACGACTTTTCTAGGTTATGCTGATTGGCGATTCCGGTGTAGGCAAAACATGCGTTTTAGTCCGATATAAAAATGGTGCATTCTTGTCTGGTTCATTTATTTCAACAGTTGGATTAGATTTTCGTGTAAGTAGATTAGTTAGCTTAGTCGATGTTGCAATCGTTTTGTTTCTATGCCATTTATTACATTTTATCGTGTTATTTTGTATAATACTGACGTAAGGTATCTCAGTCTCTGACTAATAACGAGTTACAACTTTAATCGCGATCTTGATTGAAATAGACTTGTAGTCAATGAAAATTGCCTTGTCTATCATTTTTCTTATGTTCTGTTCTATTTTAATTGAACTACAGTAGAAAATAGAGCTTTCATATCTTATAACTCTTGAGGAAAGCAAATTAATAGACTGATATTAGTCGTTGATCAATAAGGAGTAACAACTTTGGTTATGATCTTGATTGAAATGGACGTGTAGTCATTGAAATTTCGATGTCCATCATTTTCTCTATTGACTACTCTATTCTAATTTAGCCGCAGTAGAAAATAGAGCTTTAATGTCTTTATAAATCTAGAGGAAAACAAACTAATAGGCTTACAAATTAGAATAGTAACCATTTAAGACCACGCTTGGAATTGTTTATACAATCTATTCTATCCTTTCCTTCTTTTTCTTTTGGGCACTTTTACTCCCTCTTCTTTCTCATGCAAAGGCAATTTTCTCTTAGCAATAGCCATTCCTATCGTCTTCAATATATTGAAAATTCATCAAGTCTGGCGACATGGTCGCAAATGGTCTCTAGCACCTTATTAAATGATTGTATTTTACATTATTCAACAGTATTTGTACCATCCTTCTGACGTGAAAAGTCGGGCGAGTAGTTTTTTCATTGCCCTAGGTATTTTCCTATTCTTCTCCCAACATAATATCGCACTAATTCAAAGTCAATAAGATCAGATGAGGAAGCTATAAATAAGCTAGGATAAAACTATTCCAATTGCTCATTTATCGCTTACAAGATTGTTTTCATGGTCATAAAATTGGGCCAATAAGCAATGAAGTTGTATGATATTGGCCAAACTTGTAAGGATTGTCACATTACTCAAGCTTTCCTGTTTTCATTTCTCTTCCATTCCTTTAATAAATAACCTCAACCATTCTTCCTTGTAACGGAATGAAACCTTCGTACTTGGGACTATTTATTAGTTCATGGCCAGTGATCAACATTAAACTGCAATGTTAGTCAACAAAACCCATGTCTTGATAGTCTTTCTTCCGAAAGTTAGGAAAAGTGGTTGGAGCTTTTAATAAGCTACAAACCATCAGTCATAGCTACTAATTCGATGGTAGTAAAGCAAGACGAGTGTTCTTGGAAGGATTAGACGAAATATATCGCCATTTAGCTTATTCAACCTAGCCATCCAGTTATTGAAAATGGTTATATAAACTCTGTTCGTTGTCTAACAAGACAAATGTTTCTTTCTTCAACGATTAACCGGAGTTGCTGTCATAGTTTAGGCTATCTTAAGGTATCTACTTGGAAAATTTTATCAGCTCTCGCCCGTTAACTTAGTGTAAGGCAATAATTCTTTCTAATCAGGCAGCCTAATCTGGCATAAAATATCATATAGCACGACTGAATCCGAGAGCAGCTACAATAATGATTTCTTCTAGCACCAATTCAGATGGCCTGCCATCTTCACTATTTCTTTCCTAAACCATTAGCGATATTTATTATAAACGTTTAGTTCGTGATCGTTGATGTACCCTACAATTTCATCGGCTATCGTTGGTCAGCTTATCATAGAATTAGAGTAAAGCAACCTAGGAGGACTGTTGTTATGTTCTTAAACCTGCCATAAATATATCTGATATCGCCATTGAACTAAAGTATAGTTATGGCAGTGGTTCTTTCCCGAACGAATCCAGATGGCCATTTTCTAGTATTCCTATCTTCAAATATGAACGAAAGTGGTTAGAATGAATTAGGCAATCTTAGGTCGTCTACCTGGGCAATTGCATCGGCCACAGTTGGTAAATGTATTTAATCTAAGCACATTGATGTCAGTAATTCTTTCGAGAGTAAATACAGAAGGCCAATTCTACAGTTGAAGCAATCCAAGTTTTACAGGAATAAGAGCATAATATCATAGTTAGTGCGGCAATTCTATCTCAAACCACTGGTAATCATCATGCTAGCTGTCAAAGCAATCAACTTTTACATCACATCATCAGCCATCGTTAATCATTCCTGAACATAGGTTGAGTAGTAAGAGAATAAGTATCCCATCTTGTGCAAACACAGCTCAGTGGTGTAACTATTAAAACTATTAAAGTTAGACATCAAAGTATTTTATAGTCGTCATTTAAACTAAGCAAAGTAATCCGTTAAGGTTGATCTTCCTTCTTGAATGATGATATTGGATTCTTAAAACAGTTTAAGCCATTTCAAACATAGTTCAAGCTATCCATTAATACGTTAAAGTGCCTTAAAATTTAAAGTAAACGATTGGAGATTATCACTATAAGGGGTTAAGCTATTTAAGTATAACGCAAAATCTTGAACTATCTTATTTAACCTTACACTTAGGACAAAAAATTAACTTTACTTTTCAGCAATAAGTGATGATGAGTAACAGCCTTCAACTAGCCTCATTTTACAGAAATTCATCAATTCGCCTTTGTAATTGCTACATAGTAGTAAAATGATTTACAAGTAGTAGCATTTTCCCTTTTTGAACAAATACGAATCGTTCTTCAAGACTGGGTATACCCACTACTATGCCTTACTGAAGCATTATTAGGTTATTTTGACGAAGCCCTAAGAAAAACAGGTCTCTTCTTTCTAAATCTTAGAACATTATCCTACTCTTCCGTGATATTGAACCATTTATAGGATTCCTTCTATCAAGCTAAAAAAGACTATGGCGTAGCTTGTTAACATTAATTGCATGCTTGCAAACAATTAGCATTGAGCTTAACAATTCGCGCACTAGAAAGGCTTCATTAAGCTATTAGAGGCGATAAAATAACTTAGTAATCTTCATGTCCTATTGGTTCCGATCAATTTATTTTCCTGCTCCAAGAATAAAACAGAATTAATTTATACAATACAAAACGAGATAATTTAAACTATCAATTCGATCAATTTCATAATTAATTCATGATTAACTTCGTTGAGAGAATTTCAGTTTCTTTTACCGTTTTACAATAAGATGACATTCGATAACTAGTGATGCTAGTCTACAATATAAGTCAAATTATTTCACAATATTTCATGGTTTATAGTCTGACAAAATAGGTCGTTCATGATATTCTAGTTATTGAGCTTGAATCAATGCTAATTTCTAGGCGTCTTGAAGCATAATTCAAGGCTGGATAATAAGATTTTGCTCAGTTTTGGTTTGGAGCATTAAAGAATGAGTCATAAAATTTTTCATAATTTCTAATGGGTTACAGTCCGCTGAAATAGATTGATATTTTCGTTAGTTGGTTTAGAATCAATTCCAGTTTCTGTGCATCTTTTAGCATGATTCAGGGAAGATAATAAGAGTTCAATTTTAATTCTTAACCATGAAGTAAAGAGATAAAGGATAGGAATTTGTTCCAACCTCATTCTTGATGCATAAATTAAGGGTTTAGCAATTAGCTATATTTTTGTTTTATTAGAGCAATTCTGGACTAAAAAATTGAATTTATTACAATTTAATTTATTTGACTATGAAACAAGGCTAGATCATAGAATCTTAATATATTCTTACTTTATTGATCATAAATCACTGCTAGATCATATAAACCCGTTATATTTTAGTTTTATTGATTACAAATCACGGCTTAATCGTACTGTACAAATTTGTTATACGTGTTCCTGTATTTTATGAACGTATTAAGGTTTAGATGATAGGGAATTGTTACCGTCTCGTCCTATAATTATATATAATTGCAATTCAAGGGTATGTGATTAGAAGAGTTTATTGCATTCTTGTTTTCTAAGCATACATCAAAGATAAGATTATAAAAGTTTGTTATACTCTTGTTTTTACGCATAATTTAAGGGTTAGATTATATGAGTTTTGCTCTATTCTTGCTCTGTACAGTAGAAATCAAGGATTAGATTATAGAAGTTTGGTATGTTCTAGTTTTTTTAGCCGAGGATTAGGCAATAAGTATTTATTCTATTTATGTCTTTGAAGCATAAATTTAAAGTATCGTTATAGGAGTTTGTTCTAATTTTGTTCTATAAACACAAATCAAAAGTATTTTTACAGGAGTTTGCTCTGTTTTTGTTTTTGAAACATAAACAAGAGTATCGTTATAGGAATTGTTATACTCTTGTTCTGCAAACAAACACAAATCAAGAGTTAAATTATAAAAGTTTGTTGTCTTCTTGTTCTATAAACATGAATCAAGAGTTCTGTTATAGAATTTTATCATATTATTGCTTTAAAAAACTTAAATCAAAAAAGAGATTATATGACTTGCTACGATATAGTCTTCTTCTGGTAAAATAAGTCAAGGTTGGATAATTTGAGCATGAATTCTGGCTGAAATGTAAGAATTTCATATACTAAAAAACTAGAAGCATGAATTATCAGCTAGTTTATGATAGTTCACATGGTAATTCTTGTTCTTTCAGCAACAGTCAAAAGTAGTTCATACGCATTTATTACGTAATCTTGAATCCTAGCCAGTATATTCGAGGTTGTTATAATCTTGTTGAATTTTTAAAACCATGAATCAATACTGACTTAGTAATTATATAAGACATCAACAGTAGATTTTAACCTCTAGTCCCTTTTATATGACAATTTTATTGTTAATTGACGCATATCATCGCTCTGGCCAATCGATTTCATTCCGCTGCTTTTGGATATGACTTCGCTAAAACTATTGCAATAATTGAATATCGATAGACAGAATGGATTTTTTTCCTTTCTTGCCATGACAAGACGTTGTAATAGATAATGTATTAACCTTGTTAAAAAAAGTAATCACAGTTTTAGGCGATCATCTTTTTAATTTATGGTAATTATGAGCACTTATATACTTTCGAGACAATGCTAGCCTTTACTCCCGTCATAGTATGAATTGAAAATAGAAGAAATCTTGTTGCAGTTGCTGTAGTTTTATCTTTTGTCAGATGAATCGCATTGCAAGTTTACCGTTATTATTAACTTACTATTTATTTCTTCTATTAAGGTGCAATATAAATAGCTTGTAGATGTTCTATTCAAATCTTTCGCTATTTCATTTATCTCCTTTTTATTGCAGAACAAAATTGTCGACGTAGATGGTACCAACGTTAAACTACAGGTAAGTGCATTAGTAAAACAAGAATAATTGGAGTAAACTTTTTTTAAAGAATTTAAAATTATTATAAAATTTCTTTTATCTATCTTTCTCCTTCATTCTGATTGTCTTGTTAATTCCATCGTCATTTATTTTAATCATTACAAGGTAATTATTGTTCACTTATTCAATATAGAGGTTATAGTCCCTTCATGATTATTAATGAACTGTTAATGAAACTCACTTATGCGAATCTATTTAAAAATAATCGATAAATGTCCATTTTCTCATGAAAACCATCCGATAGGCGTTGGCATAGATTATTAAGCAATTTAACAAAGATATAGCAGTCATTACTTAGTGTGTTATACAATACTATACATTGTTTCTATTTTTCGTAGAAAGTTGTTGACAATGTAGTATCTGGTCTACAGAAAGACAATATAATTCTTTACTATCTGCTTAAACTTGCAGTTTCTTCTTCTTGCTGTCGGTCCTGTCGTGTATTACGAATTAATTAAGTTCATCTAGCAGATGTAATCCATCTTCTTAAGCTTGTAGTTCTTCATTCTGCCAATCTTATCTGCTACTATTAGCTAATTTAGATAGATGCAGTCTTTATTTGATGGTATTTCCTCTTTAAACCTCACAGAGAAAGAGTAACTCGGACGAAGTCTATAAACTAGCCATAAAATTAGCCTGTTTACAATTAATTTCATCATTGCCTTACGGAAGGTTTACCAATGACGTGTATACTTATAGCGTATAACCCGAAAATTTCATTCTATATTTGAAGTAGCCATTTCTATCTGCTTAGGAAGTAACTTTTATGCAATCTCGCATTATTTTCTTCATCTTATCATGCTTGTTATTTGGCTAATTTACTGTCAATCTAACTATTACTTGATAGAAGCTACAGCCTGATTCTTTAATTATATTGATGGACAGTATTGGAGTAAATTATTTTTAAGACAATAATCTATTGTAGTTTATGAGCTAATGCCGTCATTACTTGATGAAAAAAAGCTTTAGCAATGCTTTTAGTCTATTTAGAATGTAAGAATACTTTAGATATAATAATCTATTGCCAGAATTGGCCAATTTAGAATTAATTGAGACAGTAATCTTCCATACTTTTAGCTAGTTTACGGATTAATCTCATAATTGGTTGATGAAGAGTATACTATAAAGATACTTCTAGTCCATTTAAAACGTTAGAATACTGTAGATGTAATAATTTTATTACTGGAATTGACCAATTTAAAATTATTTGGACAATAACATACCATAACATTAGCTAGTTTATGGCTAATGTCATAATAGATTGATGAAAATTACGCTATAGGGATACTTTCAGTTTATTTAGAATATAAGAATGCTGTAGACATAACAATTCCTTACTAAAATCGACCATTTATAATTATGCCATGTTATGTAGAACAATTTACTCAGCGCAATTATAGACTTGTTGTAATTAGATAGTTCAGGATAGATAACATAATAATCAACTGTTGTATATCGATGGAAGCCTATTTGACCATTTACGAAGGAAAGATTAGAGCAAATTTCCTCCTTCCCCAATTTGTCCAAATTTGAAATGCATTACAAGAGTGTAAACTAAGGGAGGACTTATTCTCATAAATTAATCAGCTTAATTAGTAAATTAAAGAGAAAAATATTTAAGTAACAAAAGTAATTCATTTAGCTATGTAAAACATTAATACAAAAATCCATCTACCAATAAGCAGCAACACCGATCCAATGGATTGTAAATGAAATAATTTAATTTTAGGATTGTGTTCTAGAATAAGTTCTCTATTAATTTAATGTTAGTAAATTAAAAAGAGACCTGAAATAAATACTATTACTTTTGCGAATATTTTAACTTAGTAAAATGCAATCAAAGTCAAAATCAAATCGATCTTGTTTAGCCACAGCAATATCCTCCGTAATGGTGTTTTTTACTAGATCATTGACTGTTCTAACTTAAACTCAGAGTAAAATAGAAGTTATTACATTTATTTCGATGATAAATTTTAGGAGAATCATTTTAATGGAATTGGATACAGATTTTCCCATCAATCCTTTACTAACATTACCCTACAAACACTCTCGAATTCAATTATCCATTGCGATAAATGAAATAGAAACTTAATTTTGTTACTCATTCTACATAATAGAAGTACTCTAATTTATTTAGTGGCAGGCTTTTATTCGGATTACATGGTCTACAACTCTTGTTCACAGGCAGCATCTGCCATTATAAATTGAATTATAAATTAAATTAATTAGGACAAGTATGGATTATAAATTTCGACGTGATATCTATATAAGAAACTTTGGAATCTATGAATTACTGAGCAGGGTTTTAAATGAAACACCGTAAAAGAGGGCTATAGAAATTTGACGTTGAGTATTATTCTTACCAATCTGATGAAATTAAAAACTAGATTAAAGTCATTAAACTCCTATTCAAAGCAAGCAGATCGCTAGGATCATTATATTATTGAATAACACGTATCCCATAACTTTCATATGACTGTCTTACTTGTATTTGAGTATGATTGTGATAAAATCACCAAACCAGTTCTAACCTGGTTACTGTCATGATTTATATTAAAATCATTGTAACCCAATAGTTGAAAAATTTCTTTTAATTCTAGCGTTATATTACTTAAAATTATATATTTTATACTCGTAAACCTCGAAGGTATATATCTTCAGATGCATGATCATTATTGCTCAAAAATACTAATTCTGTTTAAACCTGGTAACTGTCGTGATTTATTGGAGATATAGCTTAAAACTAGGATGATTTCAAATCTTAATTATAATCATTTCTACTTTATAATAAGATTTGGGATACTGCTGGTCAAGAAAGGTTCCGCAGCGTAACTCACGCTTATTTTCGCGATGCTCATGGTAAGATTGATATCTCTTCCATCTTAAACTAGTAAATATAATTTTGATCCATCGATGATTTATAATCCCTTTCCATATTAACTATCAAATGCACTAAAGTTTCGGGATCTTGCTATAGATTATGTCTTATTCTAAATTTTTACTTCATTTATTAGCACTTTTGCTGCTGTATGATGTAACCAATAAAAAGTCATTTGAAAATGTTCTAGTAAGTCTTCTATAAAATGAATCACAATTTTGGAACGCGTGTTGCACCTTTACTTACTTTCATAACTATAAAATAAGGAATACCAGCTTCTATTATTTTATAATTAATGTTATTGTCGATACCGTACCTTAAACGAACTGAATGTTAACTGGCGATGACCTATGATGCATCAATATTTCCCTAACCTAAAGCATTAAAACTGATTCTAATGTATTCTAACGAGACGTTAAAGTACATCAATTATACTAAAATAGGACTCAGTTTAATGGTCTAATATTAATAACTTGAATGGCTATTTGTAACTAATAAACTTTATACTTGTTTTGCTAAGTCATGGATAGAAGATATTAATGCTCACGCTGGCAATGATGTCGTTGTTATGCTATTGGGCAATAAGGTACATAAACTAATTTTCTTATTGCCGTTATATTTGCATAGAACGATAAATCAAAGTTTAAACCAAGTTTTACAGATCTCAAAGTTAACCACATTATAGTTATGGACTCAATTAAATCGAATTCTATTAGAAATTGTACATGTCTTATTTTGTAATTACAATATTGATAATCTACTTGGTCTAATTTAGTGTAAACTAATGATACTTTCAATCTTTATAAAATTGTATTAACTAATTTCTATTACAAAAAGGCTGATTTAACTACTGAAAAAGTTATAAAGACAGAACAAGGCGAAAAATTGGCTAAGGTAATTGTTAATTTCAGCATCATAAGAAGATTGTTTAAATCTTCTTATGACTTGAGATATCACAGGGTCTTTATCTAATTTTTATAACATAGTACAGAATATGAATTTAAAATTAATCTACAAGGATCTCCTATCAGTCACTATGATATATTTCTACATATTTTGGATATAAAAGGAAAACTCATTTGCTATAATCTATTAAACTACAATTTCTGATAGAGATATTTGAATCACAATATTATTAATAACGAATAATCTCTGGTTTGTGATTCTAATCAACCAGGATAATAATATTGCTTTCATGGAAACAAGTGCAAAAACTGGCATGAATATCGACTTGGCATTTCATGCAATTGCAAAGTAAGATATATTTATTTCTATATATTTTATTGTAGATGCAATGCATTTCTAAAATTTGAATAAAGCTTATGTACAGAGTAGTACTTCAATGCAACCTAAATTGATTCCAAAATGGAAATAACCTTTAGCGAGTTTAACTCTAAAGTGTATGAGTATAGTTTCATGTATGCTTAGTTTATTCGGTATATTATGATATGACATGATTACTAATGTAATTAATTTCTGTATCGATCTGTATCGCGAATATCATAAATTATCCATTATCAGCAATAATGATAACACTATAGTAAGGGATCTTTTCCTTGTTTATAGAAATTTGAAAGAAAAGAAGACACTTAGAAGTAATGGTAGAGATTTTAATATGAAAGAATATGTTAACAAGGAGAAGAAAAGGAGCGGTTGTTGCTCTTGAAGAAATAGCCTGTAAGCACTTGCGATTATTTCTTATGAAAATTATCATATCTCTATCTATATGTATAACTAGAACATATAATTATTTGCTAACATTACAATAAACTTGCTGTCTATAGCTTGTTATCCCATCTATATATTTAGTTCTATACAAAATGCATCTCAATATTCCTCAATTTTAAGTTTTCAACTTGATATTGTAAAGGTGTTTTAACGTTAAACGAAGGTGATTCATTTATCTTTACCTTGAATGTGAATGGCATTAGCACAAAGTCAGTTAGATATAGTTCATCAATACATGTGCCAACTATAGTCGATAATATCCTTATTATAAATCTACATGATCAACTTATTATGGCTAGAAAGGGGTGTTTTAAATAACTTCATTTAAGCTAACCTATTAAGACTGGTAAAATAGTATCTTATTTTCATCATTTACTGTATCAAATCGTTAGCTGTATTCCTCGGCCACATACAGAAACTGTATGCAAGAAAGCGTTCAATTTTTGTAGCTATTAAATTCTTAATTGTATCGTTTTACCTTTAGTAATTTACCAGACAAGATAAACGTTGAAATACTTTGCTTTGTCTGCAATTTTAATATGCTTATATTACTAATACGTCAATGAATTTGTCAATATGGACAAATTGTTTTAATATTAGCTAAGGTATTTGATAGTATTTAATTCTCTATTTATTCAGTAATACATTAATCATTATTATACCATGGTGTAAAATTCATATTTCCTATTCAATAATTAATATTAAACCAATGATGAGAATTTGTGAAATCTTTGATGTAGACAAATTACTTGAGTAGTTATAGTTGGCATACGCGTAAATTAATTATTTAAGTGATTAATATGCATCTAATTGAAAATTAATAAACTGTCTTTGCCTTTAATGATGTTAAACTCATTCATTGCTATACTGCTTTAAAAAAGCCACTTTCATAGATAGAACATAAACTTGGTGTGAGGTTGATAGATCAAGAATCTTCAAACCTTTAGAAAATTAAGATTTATTGAACAAAAAACTCGTTTACAAAGTTATAACGTAATCGATCAGCTGAGGACCTCTAACGAGAAAGAACTATTATACTGTACTAAACTACTCGCTTATATACTTTTCCGTGTTAACAATCTTAGCACCTTACTTACTACGCATTTCTGTATTAGCATCTCAAATACAGGATAGTTTACACCTTTCATGTGAAGCTCTAGTATGAGTACTGTAGCACTCCTCTTCAAAAGGATACAGTTACTAAGCTAGCTATATTTAATACTTAAGCTTCTAACAGAATATCTATCACACGTTGAACACAATAACTACGGTAGATATTACTATATATATCATCAACTTAGAATACAATATTACACTGTCTTACACTTGGATATTAAAGTTTTAATATTTGTAAAGGTGAAACATTATGGGCACATTTTATTTAACCTTTGCTATTTATGCCGTAAGAAAGTCTTTGTTGGAAGCTTACATTTAAAGTAACGCGTTTTATTCACGTAATAACTTTTGCTGGAATAATCTCATTGGATTTTTGTGTTGCTAAGATACAAAGAGCTTATGCAGTATAAACATGTGAGGTTGATACATCAAGAATCTTCAAAACTTTAGAAAATTAAGATTTATTGAACAAAACCTCCTTTACGAAGATACAACGTAATCGATTAGCTGAGGACCTCTAACGAGAAAGAACTAACTTACTATACTAAACTACTCGCTTATATACCTTTCCGCGTTTACAGTCTTAGCACCTTACTTACTACACACTTCGGTATTAGCATCTCAAATACAGGCTAGTTTACACCTTTCATGTGAAGCTCTAGTGTGAGCACTGTAGTGCTCCTCTTCAAAAGGATTACAGCTACTAAGCTAGCTATATTTAATACTTAAGCTTCTAACGAGCATATCTATCACATGTTGAACACAACACCTACGGTAGACATTACTAAATATATCATCAACTTAGAATACAATATTACAGTGTCTTACAAACCTATGCTACTTCATACCAATTCTTAGGTCATTTATTATATACCTAGCATCTGATACATTGAAGCGGTCCAGCAATGGTGACGCTAAGTTGCTATAAATGTCCTCGTCACAAGAATCTAACTTCGAATCCTGAGTTTACAGTCAGGGTTTTGAAATACGTTGTCCTCATTAGCTAGTAACTCGCCATATTTAAATTATGTCGGTCAATATTTCTAGTATTTTATCAACATTTTATTTTATTTTGTAGCCGATTAGTAATGGTATCGACGGGTATCTGTGATGATGGTTCAGTATACTTCTATTTTTCTTGTAAGTGAATTAAATTGCATATTTCTGTACTTTGCTACATTTTGGTTAATCTAAAAGGATAAATTTAAGCTATCGTTACTAAGAAGTATAATAGACAACTCAACGAGATAAGAATTTAGTCAAGTTGATTCGATTGAGATGGATCGAAATATTTTCGTTCTGATGTCAGCAGGATTTATGCCTGTAAAACTTTAAGTTAAATAGTGATTTCAATGCAGTAATATTTTTCCTTCATAAAAATAATACAATACAATATAGTAAATTTATAGCCTGCTATAAAGATATGGCCACCAATAAATGCATTTAGTGAAAATTCAGCCTTGAATTACTCTTATAAATGTAACATAAAATAATATAATAAATATTATGTTTTTGATAAGGTAATGGAGTAATTATGATAGCAAATCCTAAACGTTTTCTAGCACTTGTGTCGATGTCCCCTTTGTTGCCTAAATGTAATATATTGATAGAAAGTACAATTGATTTAAAATATTGACAGTCTGCTAGATTGCAAAATCATCTCTTTAATAGGCTTATACTTATGATAGCATTGGTATGCTATCATAATCTCATGGCGATAATCATAGCAAGTAACATTTCATGAAAAGGTCATTTGTATGTTACTATCTGTAACAAACGGTCTTAAATCTTACCCGACTAATAATTTGCTTTGTAAAAAAGTCTCCAGCCATACGTGTTAATCTTGAATGAGCACCTTTCTTACATTTAACGTAGCCAATAAGATTGGCAAAATTTAGGGATAAGGCAACTATGACAATAAGCTAGAAATAAAGTAAATAAGCATTACTGAAAGGAAACTCATTAATTGCTACAATGGTTGCAAATATAACTACAACGATATCCAAGTTATCTACAACCTCTATCCACAGTATCTTAAAGCAACGGTATGATTAACAATTTTTGTTGGTAATACCAACAAATACATTCTAAAGTAATACAACAGAGAGCATAGCCTAGTTTACGAACGATTGTTTTGCTACAAGGCTATACATACGTAACCAGCAGTACAGTGTAATTTTTTTAGTTACAGCATTATTAATAGCTAAAACAACCGAAGTGATTGAGCATTTAGTAGCCAATCTAAAGCACATATTATAGTCAAGAATGTACTGTTTACTAGCGCCTACAATGTATTCACTTCAATCTACTCAATGCCAAAGTTCTTGCTTATGGTATAACATTTCGTCGTTACTGACTTACCAACCACTTAAACTTGAAGGTAATAAGTGCGACAATGAAGAAAACAATCCAAACAGCCGGACAAATGATTAAAGCCAACCAAAATAAGCGTGATTCAGCCGGATAAACTGTTTTGTCGCTCTGACTCTATCCATTAAACAGATGCTCTATGTTAGCGTCGCTAGTTGACTAGCGATTTGATTTTAGGGACAAATAGACATTTAAAATGAATGGAATTTAAAGTTGATTCAGACTACCTTTCTCGATTCATAAATCCAATGACTTTTACCGTTATCGTCGATATAATTCCACCATCGAAGTCCAACTAACAATCTACCGGTAACGTTTTTGACCGTCCAAAAGTCAAAGGCCAATAATAATATTATGGTTATGAAGTTAGCGATGAAACTTTTACTAAACCATCCACAGAATAAGTAAGTTGCAATAGCAGCACATCGAAAGAAGATGTGGAAGAATCCTGCTACAGGATGCCTAATGAGATTAAAGAAATGTCTCGATTGCTTGAAAGAAGATTGATATAGAAGGGAGTAGTTTACATTGACAGTCAAGCTGATCATAATCCTATTTCTGTATCGACGGTGTATCATTGTACGTGTCAACAGTAAGAGAGAGAGAAAGTATTACACTAGCGATTGCTGCTAACAATTTCGTGTGTAGGTAATGTATTGAATAGCTGAGAGAATATTTTAAACTAATGTACTTTTTGCCCATCCAGGCGTAAGAATACCGTACGTTTGGATGCTTACCTATTACCCTGATCTTTATTATCATTGGAAGGGTTAATATTTTCCGTTTCAGATCTTAGTGGAACAGTACTCTCATCATCTTCCTATCAATAATAAAATTACAAGCTAATTACATAAGCGAGTTGCTATATGGATATTTCGACAAGAAGTGATGTTTATCCAATGAATGTTAACGATTTTGAGCAAATCGAATCGTTCTACAAAGTGCATCCAATAAGTATAGTTATATACTAACGAAAATAACTCGATCATGACTCATAACGTGTACAATTCATGACCAACAGCGACGTTTATTCAATTTACAAAGTATCTCTATGTTATTTCAATTACTATGGACACATTAAGCGCATTTAAAAGGTAGAATTCAATTTGCAGAGCTTGCGAAAACGGTATCCTTTTGCTTCCATGGCAATGTCGATCATTGATAAGAGTATCATCGACAGTTTGAGGGTGATGGAGAATGATATCCTTCTACTTACATTCCCATCCATCGTCCTCCTATAACATTTAACATTTCTCTATCATCTTGGACTAATAGCAACAGATATTTCACTTACCATAGTTAAATTAAAGCCTGCAAAAGTGAATATTAGCCACGTCTAGAGCAAAATCTTGAACATTAAAATGGAGGCTACAATAGTGGTTCTGGTGACGTCTTCAGTCATGGTCTGCTACAATGCAAAGTGGCGAAGACCTCGTACTGTAGCCTAAAAGTAAGGATGATTTGATTTTTTGCAATTGATTTGCCATAGGGATTAACTGAAGCAATGTAAACTGAATACTGTGTCATATTACCGCTATAATAGTATCGTACATTATTCTAGACGATAACCTCATGATTGCGAGTATTGACTGAATACGGTTTTAGTACTGAACCTCTGATACTGTACTCACTGTACACTGTACACTGTAGGCAAGGAAAAGCAGGACAAATCCGCCCGTCTGTAACACCTCTTTCGTTTCGATGTAACTGTGCTCTAAATCAGAGAGAATGCATCAAACTGCTAGATGGAGTATAATAAAATAATCAAAAATTGGGTAGAATAATTGTAGATGAATTGGAAAATTGGAAGCCACGGACGGAGTGGCTATGTCTTGCAATTTTACTGGGGGATAATTATATCAAGCAGCTAAAAGGAGTATACAGTACTGCATCAAACCTTGCGTACCCTCGAAATAAAGATGCTGTAATCATCTCGGAGGTTTTATGCATAGTCGAATAGGATGCTAATTTGCTGTACTCCAGTTTGAGAAAATTCTGATATCTTTCTATACAGTACTTTCTCAGCTCATTCTTTATCGAATGAACTGGATAGCGATAGCTCAGAAAGTATAGGAAATAGTCTAGTGTACTCGGTCGTATAATTCTAGTTGAATAGGAAGACTTGAAGCCACGGACGGAGCGGGTATGTCTTGCAATTTTACGCAGGGATAATCTATCAAATTGCTCGATGGAGTATACTGTAGAGTACTGTATCAAATCTTACGTTCCCTCCAAAGGAAGATGTTTCTATCATCTCTCGGTTATATGCATAGTCGCATAGGAAGGATGCTAATTCACTGTACAGCAAAGTGAGAGAATTTCGATATTTTTCTATGCAGTACTTTCTCAGCTCATTCTTTATCGAATGAGCTGGATCGAGATAGCTCAGAAAGTGTAGGAAATCGCAAACCTTACGTACCCTCGAAATAAAGATTGTTGTAATCATCTCTAAGGTTTTATGCATAGTCGAATAGGAAGGATGCTAATTCACTGTACAGCAAAGTGAGAGAATTTCGATATTTTTCCATGCAGTACTTTCTCAGCTCATTCTTTATCGAATGAGCTGGATCGAGATAGCTCAGAAAGTGTAGGAAATCGCAAACCTTACGTACCCTCGAAATAAAGATGTTGTAATCATCTCTAAGGTTTTATGCATAGTCGAATAGGAAGGATGCTAATTCACTGTACAGCAAAGTGAGAGAATTTCGATATTTTTCCATGCAGTACTTTCTCAGCTCATTCTTTATCGAATGAGCTGGATCGAGATAGCTCAGAAAGTGTAGGAAATCGTTTATTTATTTAATGTACGCGTACCTTAGAATAATTGTAGGTGAATAAGAAGACTTGAAGCTACGGACAGAGCGGATATGTCCTGCAATTTGGATGACGTAATTTTCCATTGCATAGTGTTCAGTACAGTGTACTAGTACTAGTCTTCCTGCTCTATGCTACATTATAGGATGTTGTTTCCATATGGACTAGCCGGTAAATCACTATGTTTTTATGGCTTACTTGGTCGACTATATCGCGACTGTATGAAAGATTTTGCAAGCCTATTCTGCTTAAAAGCATGCTAGTCAGTGTCTAGTACACGTATGCAAGGCTAATATATCTCTATCAAATAAGGCATTGAAGTGAGAAATTTGAAGAAAGTGAAAAGCAGTTTAGCTCGGCTGCACCTTGGAGACCGTTGAGGTATCTTCAAACTTGAATAAAAAATCTCCATTGCAAGGTAGATTTGGATAGAAGACCTTTTAAACGACTCTATCGATTGCTTCTTCTCCATATGACCACTATGAGGTTACTCAATCCAAGTAGAATTGTTCTTCTTTCACGTTCTGTTGCTAATTATTGCACTAAAGCTGCCAGCAATCCGAGATGCTTTATGGATATTAGCATCGATAATGTCCCTAAGGGGAAAATTCTATTTGAACTGCGTGCCGATGTAACACCTAAAACAGCTGAAAATTTTCGTGCTTTATGTACTGGAGAGAAAGGATTCGGTTATAAAGGCTCATTCTTTCATAGAATTATTCCTCAATTCATGTGCCAAGGTGGCGATTTTACCAATCATGATGGAACTGGTGGTACATCCATTTATGGTAGAACGTTTGATGATGAAGATTTCACTATTGCACATGATAGACCTGGACTCCTTTCTATGGCTAACGCTGGACCCAATACCAACGGATCGCAGTTCTTTATTACAACGGTTCCTACACCATGGCTAGATGGAAAACATGTTGTCTTTGGTCATGTCGTGGATGGTGTTGATGTGCTTAAAGAGATGGAATCTGTTGGTAGTAATACTGGCAAGCCAAAAGCTAAAATTGCCATCACTGCGTGTGGCCAGGTTGAGCAAGAAGAATAACTTTCATGCAAAATCAAATATAGACCTCATTGGATCATCTATTCTACAATATCTGTTAACTGTGTTTTAAAGTATACAAGCTATTATATTTATTATACACCATAACTTGCAAATAGATGGCAATCTCCAAATGACTTTATGCAGATTTTCTGCTATACAGTAAAATAGAACATTTTCAATTGTCATTGACCAACCTCAGTCATTCTTTTGCTAACTGTTGTTTCTCTTTATTTTTTAAATTGGACATGATTATAGCCATGTTATCAGTGAGATAGTCGTATGAATTAATAAAATGTAATTTTGCCATCTTAAATCAATACTTTACAAATCCTCTATCTAGAGTCAACATTGCTTCAAATACGTAGTCTTAATCACGTTGCTTCACTGCTCTGGTTAGAGCTTTAATAAAGTAGCATATCTGAAAGTATTACGTTAGGACATTATCATTCTTCTTTATATGATGCTAGACAGTATTACACTATAAATAGACATATAATTCATGGCATAGATTTCCCACTAAAATTGTAGAATCGCTAACAAATGGTATGCAACCATTTTAAACGCCGGTCTCCAATACAAATTCAATGCTACTACTTCAAAACGGTGAAGCTATAAATCTGCGATATAGGACATACTTTAGACATGCAATCTTGTAGACAGACATACAGACTTATGTACGCCATAAAATAAAAAACAGGTAGTTCTGATTAAGGGCGAGTTTCCAACACTGCCCGTAACATTTCTTTTTATTTTCCAAGCAACTTCAGAGTTATGACAAGTAACATGATCATCCTACTTAAACAAGCCTGGCATAATATATTTGTATTATTTATCAATGCCTTAAAAGCGAAAGGTAATTCTATATTTCTCAACGTCAACTAGTTCAGTTACTTTCTTCCACCTTAATAATATGATAAAAGTATATTTCAACACAACATACTGCCTATATGTAAAATGAAAACTATCAATACTGGTAATATTTGAATTAGAGCGTTATCATAATTGCACGTCTGATACTAGAATCAACCATCACAGTACCTAAGACAGACGACAATTTTTTTCATCCTATTACAGCGTAGCAACAACTTCCATTTTACAAGATAGTGGATGATAGGAAATACATAAGCGCGTATGGTAGTTATTGACCGGATTGCATTTTATCTTCGACCCATTAGCAATCATTTTACTGTATGCCATATTAAGTGCTACATCAAGTTCATTAGTCGATAAGTACAGAAAAAGTTTCCAATTGCGAGCATATTATATTTGAAAATAAAGGCAAAATTCAAGACTGTTTTCAGTATCATTAATAACTATCAATATCAATTGCACTGTACAAAAGGTGAATGTACATTACGATGAGGTTATAAATCAGCATGATCAATTTTTTCATCGATTTAATTTACGTAAACTATCATGAAGATTGATAACCTCTACAGCAACAGTTGATACTGCATTATAATTCTAGTGTTGCATTCCATTCCATCTTAAGAAGCAAAATTGAAGTCAGTATTGAAAACAAGAGGGAAGAAACGCTACCTCAAAATTGTATTTTGATCACCATTTGAGTATGCAATCATGCACAATTATTGTGATGAATGCATGTCATGTCATATTTGCATTAATAGTAAGTAATAGATTAATTACAAAATGGTTTATAAAGGTAATGAATTGAATTGAAAATTTTGGATAACTAAATGTGTAATAAGCCATATCTTAAGATTGACTAATCCATGTTAGGCCACCATTTCTATAGCTGATCGATCTGCCATTTACCCAAGATTGTATCTTTGATTGCTTCAACATATTGTGCAGGCATCCAATAGAGCCAATAAATAGATAATTCAGTTGGTCCTAATTGTAAACCCTACCACAATAAATCATGCTAGTGTGCTTAGCTTTCTAACTACGAAATCGAGAATTCACATTTTGAATAACACTATCTACCTTCGTAGATTTCAGCAATCAAATCAATAGCAGAAGGCAAAGGTGTTACTACTAACTACCGTACTAAACCGATTGTTCGCTACTATTTACCATGATGTGATAATCTTCATCGCCTTCAATTGGCTCCGACGTGACATTTCTGATGGAAGCTATCGGCACTTTTTCAGTATGCTCTATAGTGGCAATAAAAACTCTTTCAGTCAGCTATACTAATCATATATTGAAATGATTCAATAGAACAATTCATTCTTCAAAATTTTTATAACCAGTTACGAGTAATTATAAATTCAGCATATGTATAATCGAATAGTTTTATAACTATAATACACGAGTACATGTATGCAGTACATAAGTAATACGTATCAAGTTCTTAGATTAGGATAATGGTTCAGTAGCATAATAACCTTTTGTCCCTATCCACAGTTGATTAATAAGCAATTTAAAAGTTAATCGAACTTTACTTCCATGTTTGTTATACATTCCTGATATTGGTGTGGATGGTAATGGATCCTGTAAATGAAATCGGTATCACTGGCTCAGTCATTCTTTTATTGATATGTGTAGGATTATCATAGCAATATCGACAGTTGGCCCTCTATAACGATCTCATTACTGTATCAACATTTGCACAGCGTTTATACGATCACAAAATAATTATTTCATTGAATAGACAAGTATCCACTGTGACATACACTAGAGACACTAAGAAGTAAAGCTCTAGCCTCTGTGACATACGGACAAAAGTCGGTAAAATTAGCAAGGCACTACTATATGTTCACTTTTTAATTTACGTAACATTATAGAATAAAATTTTAATTCATTAATATCTAAATAAGGAGTTAACGATCGGAACGTAATAGAACATTATGCATAGATTGCTATTTTAATTTATTACTGATATCTAAATAAAGCTCTTGACAATCAGAACGTTATAGAATATTATAGATTTCTATTTTAATTTATTAATGATGATATCTTAATAAGGTAATTGATGATCAGAACGGTAGAGGTTCCTCTACCTGTTTACTCTCTATTTACAACCAGTTTATATTGTAAGTTAAATCGTCGTTTTACCACAACATATTCACTAATGCGCCACTGTAGTACTTAGCAATAACAACTCAATATAGCGATTGAGTGATCTATTAACGACGTAAGCAAATTCTCTAGTTACTACAGCACAACATGCTCACTTTTGCACTATGATACTATTTGTTAACGATAACTCAATATGATAATTAATTAATGGAAGACTAAACGGCTACGCAAGTTAAATCGTTAGTCACCACAACATATTCACTTCCGTGCCATTATCGAATTCAGCCATGATAATTTAGTAAGACCACTGACGATCAGAACGCTAAAGCCTTTAACCAAAACTAATGTGTAACTTACCCGCCTACGCTTATCACCAGGTGAGATACCTTCCGGCTTGCCTTTATCTAAAATTTTCTTATGTTGCTACAGTCACAAGGAAGGAAGAAAGGACAGAAAACTATAATTATAATTTGCACCAGTTAATCTGATTAACCAATACTTCAAGGTCTTAATCATAAATGTATAATGCGATAGTATGACTAACTCTTAAAAATATACCTTCTGCTTGCATAAAGGTTCTCTTTTTGGACCTGCAATGTAAAATAAAAAGACTAGGTTACGATCAAATTGTGCGATATGAAATTGACCTAATATAGTTGTCGTTAACAGGATTTTGAAGAGTCAAATTACGCATCTGTGATTGTCATCAAATCTGACGTAATCAATTTCTATTGACGTTATGAAGCACAAGTCAACCCTAATTAATGTATGCGAATTAAATCGAATAAATTGAATCCTGTAATATAATATATTGTAATATCATTGTCCACGTTAACATTCTATTTCGTATCATGAGGCAGAAACTGAAGTTATGCGTTCTAGCTAAATGAATGAATATAAGTATTTATACAGTAAATAAAGAAAAAGCCATGCATAATCGGATACGGTCAAGACTGACTTTGTCTGATATCATTCCTAGTCAACGACGGACAATAAGCGTTTTATAATATGCTCGATTTACAGGCGTTGAAAGGTAATCATAAAATGTGTGTTTCAAGATCAATCATTCATTTCATTCATGAAACATTGAAGATTCAACGGTAACAAATCAGCAGATGGAATTCTTGCAGCAAAGACACGATCACTTACTCACCCGTATGGCTAACTAAATCTTTGGGAGTCATAACCACAGGTTTTACGACATCGATGATATCATTCACAGTCGACCCAACCAGCATCATTTTGCTGTTACGAGCCACTTTTAATTCGCGTAGTGTCTTGCTATCTTGTGTTAAACCTTTATACATTAACTTTTGCATAGTAGCAGGAATTTCTAAGATTCAAAAAATAAATTTAGACCTAAGTATTGTACAGCAGTACAGAGAAGGCAGACAATGCTGCAGTTTCGTGTCTGGGGCATGTCTGCATGTCTACATGGGCCTACTGTCTGTTGTTTGCCTTCAACGACATCATTATTACAATATTAAAGTAAATCACAATCGTTCATATGAAAGTAATATTAATCAATGTAGGTCAGCGTTAAGTACTGTTGGTGACGCAATGCAAAAGTACGATAGGCTATTATCCTACTAGCTTGCAGCTTCCGGTAATCATGTCACAATAATGTAGACAAAGATGGACACGTCTAAATTGCAAAAGTTCCAATATAGAAAAAGTAACGAATTGGGTATCTGAAAGGAAACATCCAATTCTGTCTGCTCCATCTTGTAATTCTACGATATCACATCTATTTAGTATAATCATCAGAGTCATACCACTAGTTAACAACGTTATTCATTACCAGTTAATTTTTCCATGTGTTTCTTGACTTGGGCAATAGTTTGATCTAAATTAAATTCCACATCAAAAGTTTTCTTCTTCCATACAACACGAAAAGAAATCATTTCTTGACCAGCTGTGGCTTGATCTTTCAACTCTTGTATACTCGCTAGCGTCGTTGGCGCATCATCGACTGCAGCACAAGCTCCTTCATTGCAATTACTTCCACCTCCTCCTGAACCATTACTCTCTTCCATCTTTTCCATTTCGCTGTAGCGCAACAAAATGCTCCTACCTACTGAACGTCCTATTCCGATCGAGTCGACTTTTACCACAACAAATTGGACGGAAATTTCACCTCGCTTTTCTCCGCTATCGTCGATAGCACCAATCAATCAATCCTACCGTATCGGTAACGATTTCAGCTCAATTCTATGGCGGTCTCCCTGCACTAATACTCCGTCTAAAAGCCAATTGGAGGATGCCAAGAAGAGTGCAAGATCTCAGATTGCGACACCAACCAGAATTTAATTGAAAGATTCTTCTTCCTTCTAATAAGGCGAAAAGCTTTCAAGTGAGCATAACCGTTTTCTATTTGCCATATCATGATTTCAGCCGTACAGTACCGTACTATACCGTACTATACCGTACAGTACTGTACGGTAAGTGTACAGTACTGTATACTGTAGTGTACGAAACTGCTTACTGTACACGTACGTACAGTACTAGACAGACAGCGCCTACGATGGCTGCTAGGGTAACATTTTCTTTTGAATTAATTTATTAATAAGAATTTATAATTAGAATCACAAATGTAAATTAATAGAGATCACGTTCTGAAGTCTGCAGGAGTCCACTCTCCAGTAATTAATATCGCTGACGGCACCACCTCTTGTAATGTGTAACCATAATAGCAGAAAGGTTAATACTGTAATGGGTATCTCAAGGTGATATAGGAAATACTCGCATTTCCAATATTGATGTGACACATACATACAGCATAGTACTATATGTACAGTATTATTTATTCGTACCCTTCTCATATGATCAGTAATGACTACATATGGAATTATGCAATATGCATGCTCTGCAGCGAGTAGCAGAACAATTTATTCATGGACGATTCACCGGTAAAATGACAGCAATTTATTACCATTACTATTAGAATTGAAACAAATGAGTTTCCATTATATTATTCGTCTAATCCTTAGCTTATTCCTCGCTCCATGTCACATCTTCCATTAATTTAAATTTATAGTACGAATATATCGACAATGGAATTGATTGGCGAGAAATTAGAATTTCAGAAATGATATCGGCGCATTCCATTTTCATCCTGTATGTTGATATGTAACTTACACACTAAGAATTGAATAATTTGGACGCACTTGCACTTCATACGTGCATGTCAAATCAATTTATTCTAAAGCACTGGCATGGACTTCTAAATTTTTCTGCAAAAATTGAATCAGTCCATAGTACTGGATTGAGATGAATATCGCCTATCGTGCAAACTTTGCAGCGCCCATCGATTGATCTCGATACACTTCAAAAGCAGCACCGTATAATTAGCGAAACACAACTAAACCAGTTATAAGGATCATTCGTATTTATTTTTATGTTGTATGAAACAATACCATACACATGAAAATACCAAAATTAGAAATTTGTAATTGGGCCAAGTTATATGATCAAATGAATACCTGTAAAATTTACAGAACATCCAGATCGGGTCGAGATTTCGCATTATTGGTGCATTGATATACATTACCGCAACTTTGTAGTGTAAAATAAAAACTGTTATATAAAAAATTTGGTATGATATAAAAATAAGAATATCTAATTTCTTCCATCACATTGCACATACATCAGGCATCCAACCATTAATAGCTTTCACATACGTACATTCCCTTACTACTTGTGAAAAGAATTTTGTCTTATCCAATCTACTGTACAAATAGCATCAACAAGTCTTTAAAATTAATGTTGTTGAATCATTTTGTTACTAAATTCCAATTTCGTATAATACAACTAAGACATATATAATATTTAACGTAAAGCAAGCAATCTAAGCCATTAACATGATAATATAATGACATGATAAAGTTACAGTAACAGAAACACACTCACTGTACAATGAGCGGTATTTATTGCTTATGCTATAGGTGCGTCATCAAGTGGTGGCATTTGTTGACGCTGAGTGCCAGCAAAATTTAAAAAAACATCTTCTAAGGTAGTTTGGCCAACGGAGTAATCCTCTAAATTGAAGGTTCGTTTAGCTTCTTCCATAATCGAGAACACCTTTGCCCACGATACTCTAGCATCAGATACATAGTAATGAATCAATCCATGATGCTGATCCTTTATCACGGCATTAGGAAAGTTTTCTTCGATATAGGCTTGAAGACGATTCATAATTTGCTCTTGATCGTGTATAGAATTCGGTTTGTCTCTCCCAACTTTCGCAATAACTGTATAACCTTGTCCAAATTTGCTCTTTAAATGTTGAGGACTGCCTAAACACTTAAATTTGCCATTAACCATTATAGCTAATCTTGTACACAGGGCTTCACATTCTTCCATACTGAAAAATATTTTTGGTCATAAAAATAACATTACTTATTCCTTTCTGCATGATTCATCAAATAGTCTGCAATGCAATCTATGCAAATTTGTAGCTAAAGTAATAAGAGGGTATTTCTTACCTATGTGATGTAATGACTATACAACGATTCTCTGCTCTAATTTTGCTAAGAACGTTCCATAAAAATCGGCGAGCAACCGGGTCCATACCAGTAGTGGGTTCATCTAAAAATATGACCGGTGGATTGCCAACTAAAGCAATTCCTGTGCAAAGCTTACGCTTATTTCCGCCGCTAAAGTAGTAGTTAAAAAGAGGTTAATGTTTAAAATTATAGATACCTTAATACTTAAATTTAAATGCATATATTATAATAATATCATTTATTTAATTTTTTTTACCTATATGTCCCGCAAAGTCTATCCGCGTATTCTTTCAGGCTTAATTGTGAAATAATTTTTTCTACAACCTGCCGTAACCTGCTTTCAGGTACCCCTCGCAATCGGGCAAACATTGATAATAGCTCCCTGCCAGTCATCAATTCTATTAATGCATCAAACTGAGGGCAATAACCCATTTGCTGTCGCGCCTATTAGCCAAGTTATAAAGTAATATAATAAAAATTGAAAGTCAGCTTGTTAATCCAGGCGTTTCTAGAATATTATTTCATGTACCTGTCTTAATTGAGTCTTAATGTTAAATCCACTCATCACAGCAGTACCGGACGTTATTGATTCATCACCAGTTAACATTTTAAATGTCGTAGTTTTACCAGCTCCATTTACTCCAAGTAATCCAAAGCACTCTCCCAAAGATATGCCGATAGATAAGTTATTGACAGCTGTAAAAGGTTGAGAGCCGCAAGATTTATACTCCTTGGTAAGCCCGCTAAACAACACAACATCTCCACTATTGTTCCCGTAGCCTCTTTGTACTTGAGCAGTAGCAGAATTACTTGCTTCATTGACATCAACATCTTCTTCTTCGTCAACACTATAAGTGGTAATAAAGAATTGAAACTTTATCATCTACCACATATGATTTGATATATCTTAGCTACGATACATGCATAGTCTAATGATGCAAACATATCTACATTTTGGCATATATCTATCAATCACCTTTCATCTTGTCCTTTGCCGGAACAAATTAAAGAATCATATATCCTTCCAAGGATCCCATATTCTAATAAAAATAGTATTACGAGCAGTACTACACCTTCAATGGCCATGAAAACGGCAAAACGTCCAATACCCGGATCTTCCCATGACAGATAATTCGTTTGATATTTAACTTTTAGAGCTTTGCAACCAAGCTTAGTTAATTCATTTTTCATGCAAGTAGTAATTGTGATATAATTTACAAACATATCACTTAAACTTTGCCCTAGACAATAATTCGGTAGTACCAAGAAACCCCATTTCAAACCATTTGCTGTCGCCATTTGATTTAGTTGTGGGATACTGTATGAGCAAAGCATTTCTAGAATTAGTCTATAATTTTGTTAATAAAATAAGATAATAACTTAAAATACCTAAATATGTTGACCGTTATTAGAGTAACTAATCCAGTAATAATGTTGAACATAGTTGTGACGACAAAGCCAGTTGCTGAATTAACGAATAAGAAGGAAAATAGGTACATCAACGGAATAATAGCCCATCCATAGAGGAAAAGGATTAGGATTACAATTCCTAAGCGATTATCGTCCACGTATGCTTGCGTGTCAAAAGCTGCAAAAACTACCAAAAGTGCCAAACAAGGGACTAAAAAAATTATGAAAAAGAAAAATGTAAGTAATTTTATAGCGTTATCTGTATTGAACTACCACTGCAACTTATCTAATTCAGTTTAAATTCTAAGCCATAACAAAATATTTTAAAAGCAAAACAAACTAACTCATATAGTTAAATAGATCCCACACAAACGAAGACAACCAGAAGCATAATGGGTCGACACCACTCACAAACTGGACATGCTTAGCTTTACTGGATCTTTCCTTTATGAGGAAAATGACAAAGCTTGAAGCTAAAAATGACATGCCGAACATCAAGTTAAACGCTATATTGAATCCGAGGGCATACCTAGAAATATAGAACTGCAGTTAGTTGCATAGTAGCTAGCACGTACACGTAATTAAGTGAGTATCTTATTAAAGCCAAATAATAATAGCAAAAAATTCGTAAATCCCATTTTCATCGATCCATACTTTTTTATGTTGGTTAACGTTTCACTTCCGGAAGGTGGAAGAGGATAGTTTGTAGTCGTTATAGTATATCTTTCATTGGTTGTGTTAAATCCGTAAGCAAGTATACAATTTGTAAGATAATTCACTGTTACACCAATAGAATGGAAGGCTTGATTGTTGAACCATAATTTAATGGCAACTCTATCTGATTGCGATTTTACGTTGTGAAATTCTGCACCAATCATGTACCGAGAGTTGAACGCTACCGTCACAACATTAACACATACGTTAATTATTTGTTAATAATGATCAATGCGAAATGAATAATTATTTACGCAATACAACAATATATTCTACAGTGATTTATTTAAGCTATACTCGTACATCAATGATCGCACTTCAACGTATTCGATACTGTAAGGATATACTAACCTCCTATGTCTTGCATGCTCTTTTCTAAAGCGAATTTTGTCATGTTTCCATTCATTGTTCCATTAAATCGCATAATATTAACTGGGTAAGTAGAGGTATCATTAAACTGATTTGAGTAGGCCTCACTTAGTCGATAAGCTAAAGTATTTGGGTTATCGTCGTAGGCAAAGGGTGCGTAATTCTTACCAAACTGATCGGTTACGAGAGACAAAGGAGGTGATCCTCCATTATATGGGATTGTTTTGATAACAATGAGGGCAATCATTGTAAAAATTATGGGCACCAGAAGTTGTGAAATTATTGACCATTTGTAACGCTTGGAATGCAACATTCGCTTTGTTAGCATGGCACAAAACTGTTGATACCATAGCTTATACTTTGAATTTGTAATACCAACGGAATTGGATGTAAATTCAAGATTGTATCCAAGTTCAGGATTGGAGTCAGTAATCAATGGTTTATTAATAGAAGCATCCTTTACATCTTCTCTTCCACAATCATTACTATCTTGTGAAAACCTTTCTTCCTCACCTTGGTGGGAATAATACTTTTCGACAATATCGTTTACTTTAAGAAACACTTCTTCCATAGTAGTAACTGACGCTCCAAAACTAGAAATTCCAAGTTCAGTCTGATGCTCTTCAAGTTCACAAAATAATAACTCAAATTTATTAGAACCACTACTTGGTAAAATAAACGAAAGCTCAGATCCGACGTTATTTTCTAATGTTGCTCCATCGATACTTTTCGTAACTCTTTCAATAATTTCGTTGACTTTGCAAGTAGCACTTTTTACAATAGTCATGTGGTAACCAATACCGTACTTTTTCTTCAAAAATAGTGAACTACCACAACATATTACTTTGCCTTTTCCCATAATCGCTATACGATCACCAAGTAGATCAGCTTCATCCATAAAATGTGTTGTTAACAAAATTGTTCGATTGGCTTTTTCACGTTGTAAAAGATCCCAAGTAAATCGACGAGCGGATGGATCCATACCTGAGGTCGGTTCATCAAGGAGAACAACCTAATCGTAATTTAAGCAAAGATCATTATTTTAAGAGATCATTTATAAAATCCTATCCGCTCAATTTAATCTACAGTCGCTTTACTAAACTTTTGAATATTTAATATTGAATTGATTATTATTGATGCTACCTTTGAATCCCCAATTAGTGCGATACCAACAGATAATTTTCTCTTCATTCCACCAGATAAAGAGGAAGAAAAAGTGTATTTTTTATCACCTAATCCAACAGCTTCAATAATTCTATCTATTTCGGCGTTAATTCTGTCTTTTGGACAGCCTTGATTCATAAATATCCAATGAAATATAAGCAAATCATGTGCTATAAACTATCATTTCGCTATCATAATGGTATCATAGTTACTCTTACCTTTCAATTTGGCAAAGAACCGTAAATGTTCCTCTACAGTAAGCGTATCAAATAGGATATCGTGCTGTGGACAAAGTCCTAAACTATTTCTAACCCTGTCAATATCGCAACATATATCATGTCCATTAACCAGTGCTGACCCTGTAGTAGGAGGAAACATACCACAGAGCATTGACATTAAACTTGTTTTACCAGCACCATTATGACCAAGTAACACAGTGATTTGGCCGCTGTACATATTTACGCTAACATCGTTGACAGCTACTTTCTCCTCCGACGATTTACCACAATACTTATTACGATTAAATACTTTAAAAATGTTACGAACACTAATACCAGGTTGTAGATCTGTTGGCTCTTTCTCAAAATGTGAATATTGAGAAATTGAAGGCGAATTACTTAGTAATCGTATTCTTTCTTCGTCAAACTCTATTGGGGTTACACCGAACCAATAACTGCGGGTAAAAGGGAAATACCATTGCTGGGGTACGCCAAATTCTCCAGGAAAGATTGCTTCAATATAAAAGGCTAATAAGCCATATATGAAAGCATCAAGTAATAGCATGCCAACAATTGATGCTAAAGATAGAGAATCATCAACTGAGACGGGGTGAAAGAAATTCGACCATTGCGCACCAACACCCTGTCCTTCTAATTTGCCTATAACCGTAGCTCCTAAAGCCATACCAACATTGGAAAGAAGAGAAGCTCCAAGCTTTTGATTTATGCTGTACGAACTATAGTAAAACGTAATGAAGAAGAACGGTACATAATTTAAAAACCATAAGATTCCACCAGCTGCAGCCGCGATGTTGGAGCGATAGAAGAATACACTCACTAAGAAACACCACATAATACTTGTACAACTATACACCATTAGAAATAGGTACAAGACAATCGGATTTGTATTATCCAAAATTCTGCCATTGGAAGTAATATTGGTACATAAAAAGAAAGTAATAATCCCCATTGAGATTAAGAAAAAGACAAAGTACTGAACGAACCATGACAACCAATGCAGCCAATTACTTAAACCCATAATTTTCATCGATTCCTGTAGGAATAATAATCAAGAAGTCAATCTAAAAATGTAGGCAATACTTGATATTCTAAAGATATTTCTGGTGCTAAATTGAACTAGCAATTTCAGCTGGTATTAAACATTAGAAATATCAACTAGAGTAAGGAGATGGTGTAAAGGTGTGTCTGTTAATAAATCATTTTAAATTTACAATAACAGTTAGATACCTTGATTTATTTCAGTTTCAAATTTAAGCAGATACAAAATACTTTCATTGTTGCATGCAGTGCTATCAACTAAATGCCAAAATTTACCTTGCTTAAGTGATAAACAGGTCTGTATATTGAGCTAACTAAATTCCGATGAACATACCGCGTTTAATATTGCCGTGTATCATTAGGTATTTTTTATCATGTGCGTATGTTATTTATTATTAGTAATGATGTACATATATCGCGTATATAGTGAAAATCAAATATGAATATACCTTAACAAATACTATTACTGTTCATTGGCCTGATTGATACGTAATTATACATCCGACAAACTGATCGTTAATAATGTAGATTTATAAGTATAAGCTTTCAAGCCTTGATACTCTTTCTAAAATACAAACTATCATTTTAAATGTTAAACCTAAAGATCAGTTATCGGTACGCTAAAGGAAAGGTAGATCTATGACAGTACGAAATAATAATAATTTAACTGATTTGTAAACTTTAAAGTCTTCTGCATAGTGCATTATAATTACTCTAGTAAAAATATAAAAAAAAATAGAGAAGAAACGAGATTTGCTCAATATTAAATCAAAACTAAATCAAAATATAAGTCAGACAGTAACAAGTAGTAAGACATCATGCTGTGAAGATTAAGTAAGAATTTTAATAGTAAGATGAAGTTTTTTATTGTTAGTCATATTTATTGACTTTATGTGCATATTTATTACCGTAAGAACTAGTCAGTTAACTGGACTGAACTGTAAGCTGAGCAAAATTTTTTATTGGCCATAATTGTAGCTAAAGTAATCAATTCTATTGATAATTATGACATCATTACTCTTGCAAGTTACTACCTAAAAAGTCATGACCTGCAAGATATTAATAGACTAGAAATTTCATTTCTATTTACGATATCAAATACGTGTGTGCCTTTAAGATTGCTATGATACTACGTGTATTGGAACGATGTTTACTACTGTAATTAAAGAATATAACAATAAAACAGATCATTGCAAGGAAATATATACAATATAACAAATAATCACCGGTATTGAACCTTGATGGCTATGTATCATCTTACAATGGCTGCTTTCATGATACGTACAATAATAATAACATACCTTAAGTTTTCGCTCTTTCTCAAAGACAACACTTTTGACTATACTCAACGCAGTGACCACCATTGACATCATGAGCAGTAATGGAAAGACATTTTGAATAATGTAAATGAATTTATCATCTAAATAAGATGGATAAGGAAACCGTTGCATTTCTAAATCAACAGATGGCGGTTCAGCAAGATCGTAGAGATGAGCGATAATAGCTCGATCGATTGCCCATTGCAATGCTAGAAATCCTTCACGATAGTAACCAGGTGATCCACCAGTAGTATCATGGCGTTCGCGCGGTCCTTTAATCTGAAAAATGGGAAATGTATATTTGGTTTCCCAAGTTTGGCTCGCTCCAATTAGGGATGCATCTTGTGCATCATGTCGGGGTATATAATCCAATCGGATGGAGTAATTAATTTGACTATCGAACTGGCTGCCATTAACATGGAATACCACACCACCGATATAGGGCGAAAATGACTGACCTAATTGGGTTTCTTTTGATATTAAAAAATTGACCATATCTTCTTCATTGGCAAATCCATCTACTCTCTGTAATCCATCTAAAAGGCGTTGGGCTCGTTTCATGACACCCACTACTGCTGCACTTGTGTTGGGACAAAAGGCCATGTATTTACCATTATGCTCCAAAACTAACTCACTGGGCAAGCTGTGAATGGTAAATGATCTAGGCTCATAGACCGGTACCATCTTGCCCTTTAAATCGCCATCCGTCCGAACTAATAATAGCACAATTACAAAGAGGACTGTCAAGAATACTTCGAAGAGTACAGTTAGCCAAGAGCGTCGAAGTAAAGTGAAATTTTTCCATAATAGCAAAAGGAATTGGCGGCCTTTAGCCATGGCAGACGTTTCCTTATTATCCTAATCAACACAATCAATGGGGTCGTCCTTTAGTCTTTCGTAATAATTCGCAAGATACCATTCGATATTTGCTAATTGTACAGTATATTGATAAAATAGTGCATTTTACCTGTATACACGTCTACTCTTTTACAGCCAATATTCAAATTAGGCAAATAGTGCAATACCGACTGGATGATAATGTTCAACCACCGATTTACAACGACTCAATGTTGGTAGTGAATATTCAATGAAATTTCCTGCCTAGAATAGGAGAAAATAATGTTCTCTTTACCGCCGGCATTGATGCAATTGAAGATGCTATGTCAAACTTAGCCGTAAAACTAGTGGTACTATGCATTTGATTGTTGAATTGTAAACAGGCAATTTGCTCCATCTATTACAGGATAACACTATCATTATGATTGCTATACGAAGAAGTCAGTCCGTTTTTTTACTTTATTATCCACAACCTATTAAGAAGGCTTTTCAAAAAAAACTGCTAGTGTACAGTACAGTATTTGACAAAACAATATTTTCCAGTGAATTGGGTCAGTGAAAAAGAAAGTCCATTGTAAAATAGGACATGGCCAATCAAGGCGATATGGAACGTTGAAAGGGAATTGAATCAATTGAATCACTAACGATCAATTCATTTGACTTCCACCATATCTACCCAATTCGTTGTATCTCAGCTTACCTGGTCGACTTTGACTGCTGGAAATCATTCAAAGAGTTTATCCATGAGTTTTTCCACTACTTTTTTCCTCTTCTCCTTCTTCAGGCTGTCACTCTTTGTGGGAAAGCTCTCAACACTGACGGTTGACCTCTTCATTTGTTGCAGTACGTAATTTGTGTAATTGACTCCTCCTGGTGTCGCTTTAATAGGAGACTTTTGCAACCGTTAGTCCGACCAATTGATTGTCTATAATAGAGTACTATCCACTACACTCTACAGTACGGTACTGTACTGTACGATACATTTATAGAAAAGCTTACAGCACAGTACATAGAAAAGCTTACAGTATGTACCGTACAGCTATAGAAAAGCTTACAGTACAGTACTGTACAGTACTGTACAGCTATAGAAAAGCTTACAGTACAGTATAGCTATAGAAAAGCTTACAGCACAGTACCGCTATAGAAAAGTTTACAGTGCCGTAGAAGATGACGTAAGGTTAACCGTCAACATGCGGTGGCTGACTGTGCAAGACGACGGTGTTGTGCCTGATACGTGACTCAAAAATCAATGCTAATGTAACCGTCGGAGAAGAACAACCGATCCTTGTCGGCCAATCGGTTAAATCGATGATGTCATTGATTTGGATCTGTGAGAATCACATGATGAAGTCCGCTGCCATCATGTTTGCTCGTCCATTCCATAGATGGGTAGGTGCCCAATCCAAGCGCTAATGTCGGTAAGGAGATATTCAAGGCAGCTGAAGAATGTTGTTGACCTTTCTAAGAAAGGTTGAAGTACATTGGAACGATCAAGAGCGCGGCATAGGATGTTGTCGTCGATGGGTTTGAACCTCTTAACCCCAACTTGGTGCTACTAAGGTCATGAGCTGAAATCATGGCCCATGTTAACTTGGGTATGATTATTGCCATCACGGTGGTAGCAGGAAAGGAGGAGGGTAGGAAAGGTAAAATGAAATTGACCTAACTGATGGAGTCTGTGACGTCCTAATAGAGTAGACTATTTGTGTCCTCTTCATGCGCGATCAGTCCATGCTTTCAAATACAACAATCATTACGTCAGCCCTCTAGGATGCGCTGTTAAATGTTCTATGTTCTACTCCTTGTTGAAAAGATAGAAAGATACGTTGGATTGCAGTATTGAGCGACAATGGAGCAACCGTCGGACCAAGGCATGCTTCAAACACAACAACAATCATTGCTTAGCTCTTCCCAATCTCTTCAACTCTCCGAGTAAAGATACTAGACGTTCGATTGCAATGTTGAACGACATTTCAGCAACCATCTGACCATTGCGAAGGCAGTCTAAAGTCAATAAAACCGATGCTTCCAGTATATCTCGTAGGAAAGAGAATGACAATCTGCTCAATATGCAGCTTTCTAATCATAGGATTAAACTTTCAGTTTCTTCGTTGTCTGGCCAAAGTCCATCAGCATGAATAAATATAATGTAAAAGAAAATGTTTCAAACCAATGCAGTCACTCATGCCAAATTTACCTTAATGTTGATTGGTTCATTCAACCCGTCATTACTAACTAAAATCAGGGCTTTTGCTTCGATGTATATACAGTATATATATATATATATGTTTATACAACGAGTATTAACTGCACAAAATTCGTGCGACGTTTGATATAATTTACTAGCCGGAGCGTTATCTTACAAATTACTTCCTCTCTTTATTAACGCAATAAATACAAAGTAAAGTACAAATACAACCACTTAAGTAAAATTAAGAATTACAAGTACATTGTAAAATCAGATAAAACAAATTGTCACAAGTATCTATATGACAAACCATGACTTATAAAATCATTTAACTTAAAATCTGATCAAAGTCATAACGTACAGCATCGAGGTAAGCAGCCCTTTGATGAATACGTACACCAGAGTGTACCACCAACAACATCAGAACTTTTATGATGTGAAAATATCAAATATGGCAAATAGAGAAAGGGATAAGAAAATCTCTACAGTTTCAAACAAGTGAGTACAGGGAAGTATATATTTCACAAATGGCAATAAAAATATCGCATGGAAAGAAGAAATAAGTTATTGACCAGCAAACTTTATTGGTAGGCTAATCTATCTTAGCTAACTTTTATTAAAGTAAAGGCCAATATCTAGCCCCATTATAAAATCTCATTAATGATCTACTGTCATAGCAAAGATCACATACTATGATCGACATTTACCTCTCGTTCAGACCTGTTAAAAATCTACGCACCATTCTTCATGAAGTAAATAGCAAGTATTACTCCATGTTAGCTAATAGACTAAATTCCAGTATTGCACTCTATTGATCGAGACATCGACTCGATAGAATGCCAATTCTGCTTGGCAATCGATGCAGAACAGCAACACAGATTAAATAAAGATAAGAAATACTACTCTGCATAACGATATCCGTCAATATTTTGCAACATATCCTCATTACAATAGCAAAATGTAATTATAAGAGTCGACCATTTAATAGCTATTACTATTTCATCCGCGGTTTAAATTTGTTGACTGAGTGACGTCAGCAAACTGTATTATAGCGTTCACATGTAAAATAGAGATTTTATGCATAATCTTACTATAAAGTAGAAACTTATTTGAAACTATAAGTAAATATTATCATCGATATACTATTTCATCGTATAAAGAATCAGCTCTAAAAGACTTGATTGTATTAACTCAGACAGAACACAATATAGGAGAAGCGGGATAACATCAAATTGCTGGTTACTATGGAAATGACCGCACCTTTTCCAAAGTGATCAAGCGCAGTGCTAGCAATATGTAAAAACCGTTAGTAAAGCGCTTTAAATTACTCTCTACCCCTCCAATATTAAAGTATCTAACACTATTGCATTAGCTGTCTTGAATGGACTCATTCGTTTAAGTTGAATTGAGCTATTGGATCATTAACTTTGTGCTTGAGCATCATCAATTACATCCAATTTCGCGTTCAGTATATGGCAACAATCTAAATTACCTCAGATATACTGGTCAATCTAGTTGGATTATTACTGCTTAATCTCAAGAAACTTTATTAAACAGTGCATAATCAATCGACCTGATATATTATTTAATGATCCAAAGTTAGTGGGCAGTGACACTAATATAATCAACTTAATTAAGCTTTAATAAGGTTTGTGTTTATATTGATTTCGGACATCAATCTGTGCTCATTTATCATGGTCAATCTTTGAAAAATTGTCAGAATATTTTCTGCGCAATCTGAAAGCAACATAACTTAAAGTGAAATAGATAGAATAGAATCGTTAAGTTAGCTTAGATTTGTGCAAAAATAAATTCTTTGAGTTCATTAAACATGTAAATGAGAATGATTCGATTCCATCATAACTTACATTTCATCTTAGTTTAATTGGTAACCAATATAATCTTTTTACCTGGATGGATTAGGAATAACAACTTTATTTGCTGTAATCTACAGATATCAAATTATTCTAATATATTATCTAAAATTAGGAAGGATTTGGTGTCACTTTATATAAGCTAACAAGAATATGGCGACTTCGAGCAGAGCTATCGAGCATGATACATTCAAGAATGTACTCATGGAAGAAATCTTCAACGAAAAGCAAGACTCACAATTTGACCAAATTTTAGGAAGAATAAAGCCGTTTACCCTCAATTTATCACAAAAATTAGGTATTACAATTGATAAATAGGATATTAATAGCTGACACCATAGTACAATTAGAACATTTCAAAGCTAGTAATATCCCTCTCGCTTCATTTTAATCCAGTTATAACTATAACAAAATTACCATATCTATAGTTATTATAAATCTCTGTAGTCAAATTTAAATCTATTATGAAATTTTAACAATATTTCAATTGATATATAAATCCTTTTTATCACAGAAAGACAACGTGTAGCTCAATGGATTAAGAAGCTATGCGAAACTGAAGACTTAACAACTTCAGGAAGGTAATGATATCAATTGGCTTTATTTAGTTTGCCAATATTCATTGCTCAATCAGATTACTAGATATGAGATGGATTCATTAATTTTATTGGAATATAACTCTGCTAAGGCTCTATTTATCACATTTTACTGTATTATTTAATATCAGTAATTTTCTTCAGGCTAATATTTATAATTGACAAATTTGCGCTTATTTAGCTGTCATGTTGTGGTTTATTGCAATGTTATACGTCAAAAGTGTATGTCTGCAATAATGCGCTACTAAATGAGGCGATGACTAATTACGAGATTGCGTTATAACGTAGCGTACTAACACATGATAGTCATGCAATCATTAATCTCTAATTTAACTGAACGAG